AAAGAGTCGGGTGTTTTTGTCTGTTCCTTTCTTTTTTTGTTTTCTCTGGTTCTGGGTGGGATGTGCGTTTCTCTGGGGTCTCTGCCCTCCCTCCCTTCCTTCTCTTCTTCCCTTCATCCCAGGATGATGCCTGGGGACACGAATTCCTCAGTCACGTGAAGGGAGGCCTGGGCAAGAGGAGGAGAGATGGTGGGGACCTGCTCTGGCAGTAGCATAAAGACTTCCTTGTGTCTCCTGGACCTCTCCTGCTGGCTGGAGAGGCTCTCTGCAGCCAGCTGGTGGGTTTTCCTCTGCAGGAGGCTGAAGGGTCCCATGGGGAGAGAGGGCAGCTGTTCCTGTCCACCCTTGTCCTTTGTGGATTGGAGCAAGCACAGATTTGAGCTTGGGCTATTCAGTGAGCGTGTGAGTCAGCAGGCACAAACCGATACGAGTGATCACGTGTGCAGATGTGTGTCACAGACGTTTTTTGGATGAGTGAATGTGCAAAAGCATCTCAGTATGCATTTATTTTTTGTATACCTCCGTGTTCAAAGAGTGGTTTGGAGAAGGGAAATCCTTTGCTTCCAAGTTGTTCTCCCCAGGATGCAGCCTCTTCCCGCAGGCTCAATGCATCTGTCCTGGGCTGTGTCCTGGTACTCTACCAATCCTGGAGCAGGCAGAAGCAGAGGAGAAAACTGATTTTGTTTTGTTTTGGGTTTTTTTGTTTTGTTTTAATTATTATTAGTTTGGGGTTTTTTTTAACTCCTTTTTCACCCCTGCCCCAATAACACTGCACTGGCTTGGCCCACAGAAGCTGAAGCCTCTTCCCTGCAGTATGTGCTTCTACTGGGGCTGGGATAAGCTGCAGGAGACTTAATCAGACAGTGGGAGTGTATGTTTACAAGTGCATGGTTTCCTATGTGCATGAGTGCTAACATGCATGGTTTTGGTATGCACGTGGGCATTCGTTACCAGTACTGAAGGGGAAGGGGGCAGAGTTGGGCTTGGGTATGTGTGCTTTTAGGAAACGGGGGGATCTGGGAGCTGCAATCTCCGTCTTGGCATGGATGACTTTTTTGGGAATTCACAGGGGAAGAGTGCTAAACACATAGGACTGTTGCGTGCCTCTTTGGCCGCCTCTGCAACCCTGTGGGCTGTGCCTGCTGCAGGGTTGGTGCTTACATGCATTGGCTGTTCCTTCTTGCTGTGGGGTAAAAGGGAGAGAAGGGCAAAGCTCTGAGTCAGCAACGGGTGCTTTGGGGAAACACAAAGCCTGCCAAGGCACGGGATCCATCTGTCTGCTGTTCTGGTGTGAGGGAGCTCATGGAGCCATGGGCGGACTCCCCCCAGGGCCAAGAGACTCTTTTGGGACCATGATGCTATCCAGAAAGCATGTGTGGCCCCACTGTGCAGCCTGGGCCATGCAGACAAGACCATGCAGAGGAGCAGGGATCTAGGCCCAGCTACAGCTGGTTGGGCCAGTGTCTATCTAGAGTTTGACAGTGATGGGTACAGTCATGGTTTGGCCTGTTGTGGTATTGAACTGATTCAGCTCATTGAGGAGGCAGATCCATGCCTCCACCCTTACCACCCTTCAGCCTAGCAGATGGCTTGACAGGGTGCCCAGTGCCTGGGCTGTAGCAGGCAGAGGGTGACAAACATGGTGAACTTGCTCTGTTAGCCTTGCAGTGGAAAGTCTGGCTCATGATCCAAGCAGAGAAATGAGGATCAGAGGAGGAGGAGGAGGAGGAAAACGTTGGCATAAAGAGGAGTGACCCTGAAATCAGGCCAGCTGTGCTGAAGCAGGAGGGTTTCCATTGCCATTAACTCACCCCATCAGGGCTCCATATTCCTGTGTTGTCCAGCCCATTCCCTTGTGCCTAATTCCTGTCTTTGTATCTCTCTCTTTTTCCTTCCTATTCCCATCTTTAGAGCAGTGAAAAGCATCAACAAAAATAACTTGATTGCCTAATAAGACCGAGACTGGAGCAGAATGAAGATGAACATCTTTTTCTGATCAAACTGAGATGAAGTGTATCTTAGCTCCTTCCATATCTCATGTGCTATAATGCCTGCTTAGATGAACTGAAAGATCCTTTCTGTTGTTGTTGTTCGTGCTGTGTGTTCCCCACAGGTAGAAAAGCCCCTTTGGGAACTGAGTGGAGGTCAGCTTTGGAAGGCAGAATGCTCTCTCCCCAAAGGAAAGCTGTGGTTCTTCTAAGTCCAGACTTGTTGATGCAGCAGGAGGGAGTCTTGTCACAGTTAGGGGGTCCTTGTGCCAAGCAGCTGTGTGGAGGTGTTGGGTGTAGAGAGATAGATGATAGAGAAATGGGGACTGAGCTGAGAAAGGAGGAGCCTGCATTGAGCAAGATGAGAGCAGCAGCACTGAGGCTGCAGCACGAGGGGAACGTGCTTTCCCCAGCGGCAGCCAGAGGAGAGCAGGTATGTGTTAGCTCATGGGATCAGTAGCAGGAAAGTATGGAAGGAAGGAGCTGTTTCTCATTTTCACTCTTGCAAAAGAGCCTGAGGTCTCCTCTCAGACCTTTGGCTTCGCCTTATCTCAGTGACAACACCACAAGCCCAATGGCAGGCCTTGCTGACAACAGAAGAGAAAGACAAGTCAGTCTTTGCATGGGTGTTTTGGCAGCACCAGAGCCCCATGAAGCAGGGCTGCGTGCACGTGTGCTGAGGCTGCACCTTGTTTTCTTGCATAGTGGGAGCATCTCTCCTCTGATATTAGCCCTTTCCATTAATAGGTGTCCTTGGGGATTTTTAGTGCACTGCAGGTCACAGTTTCGTTGCTGAGTTGGGTATCTTGGGAGTTTCAGATGAACCCACACCTGCAATATCTGTGTCTCCTGTTCCTGAACTACAGCCTGTTGCCTTCTCTCCCCTCTCCTTCATTATTTGCTCCATCATTCTTCCTCTGAATTGCTTCTCCCTTCTGCCCCGTTGGGCAGGAGAAGAAGGTCCTGCTGGAATAACAGTTCTCGGAATCTTCTGCAGGACTCTGGCCCTGTCCTCCTCCTGGACTTACTTACTCACTTCCTTATTCTTAGGAAATTAAATATAAAACAGACTCTGTTGTGGTGGGAGGAGGGGGCTTTACAGATGAAATGCATTCTTTTTAGTTTCTCAAGAATCATTTAAACGCTTTCTGATTTAAGGCCAAACCAGTCAATGTTTCTGTCTAATTTGTCTGGCTAACCCTGTGTTTATTATCCTTAGGGAGCTAGAGTGCTTGTCATTAAAATCTTCCTCCTTGTCCCTGGAGGTGACGGGTACTAGCGACCTGACTTTCGCACAGTGATTTCTCAAGGTGGTGGTTTGCCCTCTGTCCAGCCTTGCCTGTACTGCTGTGCTGGCACTTCCATGGCCAGTGCACAGGGGGTCAACCACCTTCCCAGACAACCTCCGCAAGAAGGAATCCAAAAGCATGTGGGGTTGTGAGAGTGGCGAAGAAGTCAGGTTTGTATCAGATCCTCATTTCCCAGTGCTGAACTCTGAGGTGAGCATTGAGGCTCCTTGATTTTGTCTGAACCAGGTCCTCAGGTTTGAGAAAGGAAGGACTAGAAAATCCCATCATGCCCATGGGCTGGAACCAGAATCAGTCCACCAGAGCCTGTCTGTTGGTTGTTGCAGCCATGTGCAGCAAGACCACGTGCCCACTGTCCCTCTGGGAGCAAAGCTGGGATGTGAAGTGAGGAAGAGCATCACCAGCCTTTCCCTGCAGCCCTCTTCAGCCTCTGTGATTTTTCTTCCCCAGAACCTTTCCACCTTCGAATTAACCGGTGGAAAGAAGGGCCAGGTAGTAGATGAAGCAGTGTGTGGCATCCCCAAGCCTTGCTCTTTCTGGCTGGTCATCTCTGTTCTTGCCTTTCTTTGTGCTTCCCACCTAAAAAAGGGATTGTGTGCTTGGACTTTGGCTTTGGACGGGGGAACTCATCCTCCTCTTTTGCTTGCAGTGAAGGGGAGGACATGGGCTTTGATGGACCTGCAGCAGGTGAGCTTGCTAAAGCAGAACGAACGGGGCAGGTTGGCTGTCTTTGCCCTTCTGCAGGACTGGGGGTAATGCCATACCCAAGTGACAGACAGAAAAGATGGAGTGGTTTTGTGCCTGTGTGGTTGGTGTGAAGGGTAACACACTCAAGTCCACTCTCACTGTTGCTTTCTCTGATCCCTGTGTCCTGCTGAGGTGTTTGCTGTCATTCAGCTCAGGCCAACCTGCTCGTCATGTCTCTTGACAGGTAAACAAGGGTACCTTTTAGCTTCTGGGTATTGTACAAGTTGGGGTGGAGGAAGCGTGTCAGAGCAGAATGGGTATCTGTTCCCCTCTGCCCTCATTGGTGTGTCCTTGTGGGATGGTAGTGTCTTTTTCCCTCCTGAACATCCCCCAGGCTCTGTCCCTGTCTCCCAGCTCCTGCCAGCAATCTCTGCGGCTGCTATGCCTCTGCACTGTGAAGATATGTGTCCAGGGTCGCTCCTGGTCCCATTAGTGAACACTGGTGGTGAAGAGGGAAGGGGCGGCTCATCCTGGCTTCACTGACCTCAAACCATGGCAAGAAAGGAGGGAAGTGAATGGGAGAGTGGATCCTGAATCCCTCCATCGTTGTGTTCTCTCCACCTCTCCCCAGAAAAATCATCACTCTGATTTCTAAGACATTGGAAAAACTTGCTCTTATTATGGAAAGAGAGGGGGAGCTGGAGGTAAGGGGGTGGCAGGAGGGGCTCAGATCCAGCACCAAGAAAGGAGAGCTGTTTCTAATGCAATACACTGACATTTAAAGCTTTGGGGACTACAGATAATGGATTAAGAAGGGATGTGAAATACTCTGAGACTGAGAATTCAAGCCACTGTTTTTTCCTTCCTGTGTGGATGATGATGAAGTTTCATCCTGGAGGTGGTCCAGCAGCACTTCTGAGCCTGTGGTCCACCTGGACCTACTGGTGGTGTTGCCCCTGGGGTGGCTCCGGAACACTCT